TTTATTGTTTATTTTTAAAATTAATTTTTGTTTTAGTAAATATTGTAAAATACTTAAAATTTACTTAAACTTTTTGGGGGGTATTTTAATACTTTTTTGTAGTCACAGTTGATTTCTGTGATGCTTTAATGAATCGATTTTTTAATTTTTCTAGTTTAAAAATATCCTCAAAAATCTAGTTGGAGTCTCAAAAGACGGATTCATTCGATTGGATCTCTAAGAGTCAGGTCCTCGATAGTGACATCCTTAGAAGTCGGATTCCCTCAGAAATCACTAGAGTTGTTCCTCGTCCCCGAAAGTCGGGTCTCAAAAGTCGCAGTCTCTCTTAATAGTTGGATTCTCTCAATTAACAAACGAATTCCTTCGGAAGTCGATTTCTCTCATTCAGAAGTCCAATCCTCGAAAAATCGTTTCCTCAATAGTCCCCCTTCCCTCAAAAGCCACACCACTTGTTTTTCTCGTTAAAAACATTATCCTTTTCCTGTACTTTATTTTTATAAATCGCTTGGATGCACCACACAAAGTTTAAATGGAAGCTACAAATGCGTCAACTAATAAAAAAATAATCGGCTTTAAGAAAATTGAATTTTTTTTGTTCATCACTTGTTTTCATTTCGCGCTTTTCTTCTTCTTCTATTTGTCCGGTCCCTCTATCCAACCACTTTTTACTACAAATTTTTTCCAAAAAAATTTTTTTTATTGAATTTTCCTCATTCTCCTCTGTTTCTATGTTTTCTTGTATTTTTATTTGCCTCCTTTCTCCACTCAAAGATTTTTGAGGAAAGGAGAAGAGCAGCGGGCATAAAAATGCGCGAAGATAAAAGAGGAAGAAGAAGAAAAAATTAAAATAGAAGAGCGGGAAGGACACATGGCTGGCATCAACTGAAGGTGAAAAAAAAAAAAGATGGATGAGGCAATTTATATATTTTAAAAGAAAAAATTCCAAATTCACTTTAAGTGAAAATATGCACTTAACTTACTTTTTATGCTTCCCATAATAATTTAGGATATATCCGCTTTTCTTTAGTTCACGCTTAATCAATCTTATCGTTATTAATCGCAAAAGTACCGCTATAATCGTGAACTATAAATAATGCTGTCGGACCTCAATATCAGATACTTTCTTGGGGAAATTGTCTCTTATAATGAATGAACCTTATATAGAGGGGTCTGCCTTAAATAGAGGGTATCGCTTAGATAGCTCCCCGCCCTATGGCCATAACCGAATTTAAGAGAGGCGTCTCTTATAATGAGGTGTAGCTTAAATAGAGGAGGTTCCTTAAATAGAAGGTATCGCTTAGGCGGCTCCGTTTTCTAACCCAACTTCTCCCTCACTAATTCAAAGAAAGGTAAAAAAAAATAATAAACAAAAAGTTATTTGAGCACCTTAAGAGATGAGTCATGTGCAAGCAACTTTCTCAAAAAATAAATATAAGCAGGAGGATTAAAACAAAAAAGAACTGACAGATGAGCGGTCTGGAAGGGATTGTTGATCCACACATTTCTTTCATAATTTGAGACACTAATAAAAATTTAGTTAACTAATATGAATTAATTTTAAGGTTAAAATCCACGATTTTCAACAATAATTAAAAATTTTATTTAAAATCTGAACGATCAATCTTACCAATTATTTTTCTAATGCTTAACATTACATCTTAAAATTAATTTTTTTACATATTTTTATGATTTTATCTTTTACATTCTTTGAAATTTTACTAATAAATAGTCTCAGTCGGAAATTTCTTTCTAATTTTAATGTCAATGAAGCATTTTTTAAATTTTTACACGCAAACATCACTTACATACGAGGTTACTTCCCTAACTAATTCAAGGTCTAGTATTGGGTGTTTCTTATAATGAGTAGACCTTATAATGTGTGTCCCTTTTATTGGTGGTATTGCCTAAACAGCTCATCCAGCAACCAATTTTAAAACGTATCTTAAATTTAGGAGTATCTAATTCTGGAAATTTCCAAATCTCAGGACCGTTTTCCCTTCCTCTCTTTTATTCTTTCCCTTGCTTAACTAAAAACAAACAAAGCTAAAACTAACAAAAAATCTTTCACTAAATCTCTCTCATCCTTATTTTTCCTTTGCCTGATCTTCGATTGCTTTTTTTATTTTATCATTTAACGACCAGTTTTTTTTCCTTCCCATAACTGCCATTTATTGCCCTTTATACTATTTAAGAACACTTTATTTCATGTCCAATAACTCTCCTCAAAAAGCATATGGCAAATGACTGGTTTGTTAGGAGAGGGGAAAAACACTCATCGCCTTTAAACTTTATTTTTCTATAGGGCTTTTAAACATGCTTATTTTTCTACTTGAAATGTTTAAACTTTTTATGTATACAGTCGACCTTCATTATAAGGTAACCTTTGGCTAAAAATTGTCTTATAATGAAGGGTATCTTGAACAATGTTGGACGCAAGAGACAATTTCCAAAAACGCAGCTCAAGGCCAAAATCAACGCAAAAGCAATGCGCCCACCCCTGATCTTAAATAGAGATTATAGCTTGAACAGCTCTTCAACCCAGCGTATCCTAATTGAGATTTGCCTAGTATTGGGGGTTATCGTTTAATGATAGTCTCTTATAATGAGATGTATCTTAAAGTGAGTGTATCGCTTTGACAGCTCCCCTATCCAGTGGCTGGCCAACCAAAATTAAAAAACGTATCCTAAAAATTCTTGTATTCCTTAAAATTTGTTATTAGAATTTGAAACCTGTTGTATTTTTTAATTAAAAATGACAGGCAATTAATTAATTTTTTTCTTCCAATTTTTCCTTAATTCCCAATCAAAAAATATTTTCCAACATTAAATATTGCTATAATAAATTAAACAAATATTTTTGTGTTGTGATTCTGCCAGCTATTTTTTTAATGTTAAAATATTGCAACTAAAAATTGCAAAAATAAACACCAACATAAAACACATTTTTGTTTTAAGATAAATTAGCGAGGATTTTTAAAGTACTCACAAATTTTAAAAATATTCTGTCAAGTCTTCTTAGTTCTTGTGAATTCTTTATTGAATAATTTTTATTCAATCGGACTTATTTTAAATAGAGACCGAGACGAGATCTCGATCCTATTACGACACTCTCAGTTAGATCTCTAGTTTTAACTACTCGCAATTTCTCTTGATGGCAATGAAATGATTTTTTGAAACGAGGGGTATCTAAAATTGGGGGTATTTAAAAAGGAGGTGAAGCTGTGTAAATACTAGAGCCCTGACTTTTGGGTTGTGTGATAATTTAGAACGATAATCTAAATTTTCCCCGAGATCTCGTTTTGGTCCGGATTTTAATAAATATTTTGTTAATTCTTCCCTTCTTCTTTAAATATTTTCTTTAACATAAAATATAGTTATTATTTACACCCCCTTTTTTAATGACAAATATGATTTAACATAAACACAATTTTCCTTCAAAAATATTAAAAATACTGATTGTTCATAATAAATGTTATTATTGCTGTATTATACTAACAAAGCTGCTAATAAAATAAATATATGGTGGAAAATGTTTCCTTTTGACTAATTTTTTGAATTTATCTTTTATTTCCTACGAATTTTGTCATTTACAAAAGGTCGTCTTACAGCTTTCCTTGTAACAAATAATTTTTTTTTTGACATTTTTTTGAAGATCAACATGTTTTCTTCTGTTATCCTAAGCTTAAATATATCCACTTTTTTATTTCTTAGTGTTTGTCTCAAGTTTTTAGCCTCAAACATTGTATTATTAATTGTATTATATACGTGTTCGTTATCAGTGGTTTTGCCCTTTCATTTTCGCCTTTTTTGACATTTCACCTTTCGTCTTTCGCTTTTTAAAATTGTTTAGTACACCCCTGTTCTGTACACCCTTCGAAAGCTTAATCTCTATCCATGTTTCAATGTTTCCGAAAAATCAAAATCAGTTGGATAAGCTTGGATAAAATGAGGGTTAAATTGGATATACCAGATCCGGCTAACTAAATAATTTTTAATAAAATCCGTTAGGCTATAAATTCAATTTTAAGATTTAGTTATTTAATAAAAAATAGGCATGACTTGCAATTTATTAAATAATGAATCTGAATTAACTTCTGCCTTCAATTCTGTCAGCAATTCCCAGTCTGGGGACGAATGGTTAATTAAATTCTAAAATAATTTTTCCAATTTTTTCCTTTTTAGGGCTATTTTTGGGTATGATGGGACATCAAGTATTGTAAAAGTTGAAGCAGCGGGAAGTAAATTTAATTTTACAAAATTAAATTTAAAATTTATATTCTTTAAAGATGGTGGCCTTGAACAATTATTAGCGAGTTTTAATAGTTCCAAAACGCAGTATGGGTTTGCAACGGTTGCTGCTGGGGCACAAAGAAAAGTTGTTCTATTCCATTGGGTAAATAAATAACTCCTTTTTATTGCTGGTTGGCCAAAGGGAACTGCCTATTTATTATACCTCCCATATTAAAGACAGACACTCATTATAAGATGCTCTCACTATAACATACCCCTATACTAAAGTACACTTTTATTCTAAATACGTTTTTTGAATTTATGCTGGCCTTTGGGTGGCTGGAGAGATTGCCCAATTGTTTTACCTCCCATTTAAGCTACATCCACAATAAGGAACAATTTATTGTGCCTAAGGGTGTGTTTAATACTTTGGTCTACCTATTATATTCGTTTTTTCTTCTTATTTTATTCCCCTTTTTTAGCAAGGTGAAGGAGTGCCAGCAGCATTGCTATCAACTACTGCTTCGCATGTTGAGGAAATTCGTAGATTTGTTAGTTCCCTTAATTAAATAAAAAAATATTCTAATTAAAGGTCCGACGAGTTAATTTAACAATATATGCTCGTAATGAGGAGGATTTGGAGAAACAAGTTTTGGAAAGGCATTTTGAAAAGTTACAAGACTTGGCACCTTCAATTACTCCTTCAGATGTTAAAACGCCTGAGGCAAAACTTGAAAAATTTTTTTGGGAATTTTTCCGAATTTTTAGAGCTCTGCTGGATCATCTGTTATACAACCAATAAATAATACTCCTTTTATTCCACCAACCCCAGCAAGTGTCACAAATCAGCGTTCTGGGTTAAACCAAGAAATTAATTTGAATGAAAGAGAGAAATTCTGGGAAGAGGTGAATAATAGTTATAGTTGGGCCTCCTTATAAGATACACTCAATACAAGTCCCACCTATTTAAGATACACCTCTACAGAGGATACGCTCTTAAGTTAGGTTGACCTCTGTATGGGGGCTTCTATTAAATATCGGCGTCTATTAGAGAGTAGGGTCTCAATGGGTCTTCTCGGGTGGGCTTCTATTAGAGATGGGCTTCTAATAGAGCCGGCTAGACATTAAAATCTAAAAATTTAAAGATGAGAGACGAGGAAGAATTAAGAATGAAAGAGGAGGCAAATAAGAGACGACAACTCCAAGCACAATATGCCCACGAACAACAAGAAATGTCTGAAAAATTGCACAAAATTCATTTGGAAAGAATGGAAGCACAAAAGCAACAAATTGGAAAATCAGCAAGTTTTGATTCGTCTTCAATTAATGCTGGAAAAATGGGAAAATTAATAAGTGGACGTACTAAAATGTTTGAACAAAAAGTGTCGGAATTGGCACAGTCTACGAAGCCTTTAAAAAAGCCAAAGAATTTTAAATGGCAGGTAAAATAAAAATGAATAAAAAAGTATTTTTAAATTAAATAGAGGACCTAAATTTTTATACCCCCTTGGAATGCCCCCTTGGGACTGAAGAAATCGTATCTCATACTTAGGGTTAATTAATTAGGAATACTTAATAATTAATTAGCATTTACGATACACCTCTGTTTAAGAGACGTTTTTTAATTTGGCTGGCGACTGTGTGGGGGAAGTTGTCCAAGCAATACCTTCTATTTAACATACCCCTCATTATAAGATATATCTTTTTTTTTATCAATCCAATGGAGGTATCTAAGAGAAGTCTGACTTTTAAAAATTTTTAAGGTCAATCTACAAAATCGTTTAAATACCCCTCCAGTTAACAAGGTCCCAGAGCCACCACCAAAACAATTTGAATGTGTACTAAAAAGAAAAGAAGAAAAACAAGTCGAACAGCCAAAATCTGTAGCAGAAATTAAAGTAGAACTGGAAAAATCTGAAAAACAACCAGAGGAACCTAGTAAATAAATTTGGTACTTGCCCAGATTGTGTTCACTCTCACTTTTATGCGTTCATTAAAATTTTTTGCGTCTAGTCTATGGCGAAGGTACCCGGTTCCTAACCATAGCAGGGGTGTTCCGAAAGTGATTTTAGAAAGCGAAATTGATTGGACGTATTCAGGTTGATTGGACGTATAATGGTGCGATTGGATGCATTCTGGACAAGAGCCATGATTCTTTAAATTAAAAAAAAATTAAATTTTCTCTCAGTTATCAATAAAATTCCAATAGCACCAATCCCACCAGTTGCTCGAATTCCTTTAAATCAACAAAATGGTGACCAAACTCAAATTAAATTGGAGGAAAATGGAAAGAAAATTAATGAGGAGTTGAATTTATTAAATTTGTCTTCACAAAACGGAGATACAACAAATATTTCCCCTCCACCAAGTGAACCAACAAACACAGAAAATTATCAACAAATAATAGAAGAACAAAGTATTGAAGAAGAAAATGTTAAAAATGGTGAAGAAAAAATAAATTTAGTAAATGAACAGCAAAAGCAACAATTAAAAATTAAAGCTAAAGCTCTTTGGGATTATCAGGCGGAGGTGAATTTATAATTCTATAAGAGTATTAGCCTTGTGATCCTTTATACCTTCCGCAAAAAAGCCTAGTAGTGCCAGAAGTCCGTGTATTATACCTATTTCCTTGAATAACTACCATACTTCTTAACGAACGTAACATACTTCTTAACGAACGTAACAATTTAACGAACGTAACAAGTTGAGGATCTGGGAAGTCGAAGGATATCCGGATCAGAGTTTCGAACCGAAAAATTTAGTATATTCGTACTATTAGGATATCCGGCTTCCGGACCCACCAACCTTACTTATGTGACAAGTCATATAACTATATCTATCTAGAGATCGGAAAATTCTAAAATCGAATGCGAGGTGAATATTTCAAATTCTAAGCTTTCGAAATTATTCGATCGAATATTCGATTAATCTCATCTTTAATATATCCCAACACTTTAAAGGATAACACAGAGTTGACATTTAATCCTGATGACATCATTTCCGATATACAAATGGTGCACGATGGTTGGTGGTACGGCCGCTCGCCGAATGGCGCTTGTGGCCTTTTCCCTTCAAATTATGTGCAGCTGCTCCAATAAAATATTTTTTTAACAATTTTTGATTTTTGGAGATTTTTATGAGGAAATAATTTAAAAAAGAAAAAATTCGCAAAATACAAACTCGATGATTGAAAAATTAAAAAAATATTTTTAAATATTCATTTATATTTTTATTTTTTTGCCTTTATTTAAATTAATAAATATTTCTGGCTCTACTTTAGAGGACATACGTCCCATGGACTTTTAGCGTCCTATGAGCGACTATGCGTCCTACATGTTAGCTTCAATACATCGACACAGAAATAGGGCGCAAGTTAACGGTGGGACGAAAATTGGTTTTGGAACGCATAACAGCTCATGGGACATATAAAGTACGGGACGTATAACCTAAAGTAGAGCCTTATATTTTTTATTAAAGAATTTCTTTACTAAATTTAATTTACTAATTATTATTTGACTAAAAATATAATTTAATGGCATTCTTCTGAATAAGTATTATCCACTCCTATTTGGAGGTATTTCTGATTTGTAGGAATTTGTAATTCCAGAATAGTTTTTCCTTCTGTTTCAAGAAACATTGAGAAAGAAAATTCACCCTTAAAAATATTATTTTTACGTTATTTACAGAATAGAAATTGTTTTCCACCAAGAGGATTCGAACCTTCAACCCTTAGGTTAACGAACTAAAAATTTCGCCACTACACCATAGCCACTTCACCACTACACCATTATTTTTGGTATAGAATGAAAATAGTTTTGCTGGGTGGATAATAAAAATTGCTTTTCCCCCAATGGGGTTCGAACCTTTGCCCTCTTGGTTATCGAATTAAAAATTTTTCCACTACACCATAGGCGACTTTTTCCTCGGGGGGGGGGGGGGGGGGGGGGGAGGGGGTGTATTGCCTGGGGATATTAAATTAGTTTTTAAATAAATTTACCGATAATATATCCAATAAAGTAATCCCAAAAATACCAGGCGGATCAGGAAGCAGTTGGGTTGAATTAAAATTAAGTACTTTTTCTAATTCACTAATTGTATGAATTCCGGGCGTTTGTAAAAGTTTGCACAAATCATTCCCAATAAATTCACATAAATTAAATGAACTAAAAAATTATTTTATTTTTTCTTAAAAATCTCCAAATTAATTTTAAAAAATTTTCAACACTAAATGCCCTCAAATGTCGCCCGCACGTGTCCTCCCACAAATGTCTCTCAAAGGTCTATCCGATAGTCCATAAATGTCGATACCTTTGACATTGTGGACACCTTAGTTTAGTGTACGATTTTTCAACCCAAATGGCGTAAGTGAGGTCCTGAGCAGAGAATTCCGATTTCCGAAAAATTAGGCTGATTTCCGATTTTTAAGCCATTTCCGATTTCCAACAATTCCGATTTCAGGCGCCTTCGTAATTTCCGAGCCACCTCTGGTCCTGAGGTTTTACAGTAGTAAAATTCCAAGGACATTTTACTTCCGAATATTTTTTTCTTGTAAAATAAAATCTACAAACCACCAAGAATTAGGCATAGCTAAATATTGACTTGTCCCATTTAAACAAATAGGTTTATCAAAATTAGGCGAATTAACTGTCATTCTAACTGTGCCAGATTTAATTAAATCAAAATTATTTTTTGGTACAAACATTTCTCCTAAAACAGAATTTTCAAAAAAACTTCCTTTAAAAATTACCCTCCAAAAGTTTAACAATTCCAGGCATTAGAACAGTTGCCCTATTTTCATTACAAGCAGGTTCTTTGTTCGGACGGTAAAGTGTTCCACGTAGACGTTTAATTTTTACAGGGTATTTTACTGTAAAATATTAGATTTTTTAAAATATTTTTTAGGATATTCCTCATTTTTAGATTCTTCCTAAAGGCTGGAAATATAGCTTATAGTGAGGTGTATGGCATCACCACTCATAATGAGTTGCCAATGGGGTGTCTAAGAATGAGGTCTTCAAGGTTGTGCCGTTTCGCCTTTCGTATTTTGGCTTTCGAATTTCGCTTTTTAAATTGACTTTCGCATTTCGCCTTTCGCTTGTTTTAGTGTTTCGTCTTTTGGCGAATTTCTGTCTTTTTGAATTTTTTCCTTTTTATATTTTGCCTCTGGGCTTTTATAATTAATTTCATCACACCCCTGTTCTGAATCTGAACTTATTAAAAATTAATTTATTCTACACCTTTAAAATCTGAACGTCCATCAACCGAATTCTCTTTACCATCTCTACATTTATAAAGGCAATTATCGGCTCCAATGATAAAAGGAATAAAAAATAAAATTAAAAGAAATATCAAAAATTTATAAAACATTTAATTAAATTTATTAACAATTAATTTTAAAAAATTAAAATTCTCCCCGTCTTTAAATGCAAAAATAAAATTTCTGTCATTTTTTATTCTCTAAAAATAAGTACCTAATAGACTATTTATTTATCTCAATCAATTATAAATGCGCAAAGTCGTTACAATTTTGTGACAAAATTTATTGAAGGCCAATAATGATGGGGGAAAATGACAATAATAAAAAAGAATTTTCTTCAACTCTTAAAAATAGTAAAAAAGGGGTATTTTTGAGAGGATTATTTTGAAATATTTTAAAATTTTTTAATAAAATAATGATTTTGCTTTGCAAAAATATCTCTTTTTAATCTCTTTTAGGAATTTAAACAAAACATTCATCTCGTATGAAGCCATTCGGTGAATTGTATTTATGGTGGACTGTCTTAATACGATCTTTTAGATTACCATTACATTTACCCACGTAGTAATTAAATTAATTTTTTCAACATTTATCTTCCACAGATTAATATTACAATTAGTGATCGGAATTTCGCACCATACCGTACTACAGTATGGAAATTTATTGAAAATAAAGTCGGCTGTGATATACATATTAGGTCTTTATCCTATTTTCATTCATGGAATGCCGGCCTTTGGGAGAAGTTTAAGCTCGTTCCAAAAACACGACCTTTTATGGATGCGCCAAATCGTTCTCTCCCTTTTGTGAACACCCCAAGATACGATTTTTAGCCCAAGCGGGGTAAGGAGGGCATTTTATAATGCGGTTCCGACTGCGTATTAAAAACTACAAAAAATTTCTTTAAAATCATTTTTAGTCATTTCTCTTCAATCTTCTCCACATTTTTTCTTTAACCCATAAATTCGATAAAAAAACATTTCCATATTCGGAGGCATATTTTCATCATATTTTAAATTCTTTATGTGAGTTAAATAGCTCTCAAATAAATCCTCATTTAATAAACGTACTGATTCATTTTCAATATTTGCTTCTATTTTAGCCTTCCAATCATTTGCATAATTTTCAATTTTGAAGAAACGATTTAAACGTTCATAAGCAATCAAAACTTTGGCTACATCATGCTGAATATAGCCTAGCTTTCTTGCTTCACCAAGTGTCTGATCAGCAAAAGGATTTGTTACTCGTTTAGTACTCTTTTTTGGCTTAAATTAAAATTTTTGTAGTCGTTCGGAACTTTACAATCCCTAGAATAGTTGATTCCCCTCCTCCCGATTAGTTTTCTTTCTCTTCGAAGAATTTCCTCCCTCCTCACCCCCGATTCTCTGAATAATTGCTCATTCCTCTCGTTGAATAATTGCCTCTTTTCTCAATTAAATACTCACTATAGCTAGAGGTTTAAACAATAATTAACCTGGATTATTAGAGATTCCAGGGAATAGTAAGAAAATATTCTAATGTATTTAGAGAATCACTTTTCCCAGAACTTAAGGGGAATAAATACTCTCATTATACTTAACCGCCATCATTCCAGTATTGTCATGCATAATATTTCAATTGGACCTCACAGGTACTATTTACCCCTAAAAAGTTTATCTAGTAGTGAGGTCAGTACCTTAGGTGATTTACTCGAACTTTTTGGAGTTTCTCTATTGACTGCCACACGTTCAGTCAAAGACTTTATCCATTTTCTCTCATCAACCATTTCTTCAGGCAATTCAACATTTGGATTTTGAATTACTTCCTTCAAGTTTTCCAATTCTTCCCCGTTCCCAGCCATTAAATTAAACATTTCTTCAACTATTGTTTTTGCATATAAAGAATTTTCGATTAATTCTGAATCAAAAGGAGCCTCTAATTTTTCGAATAATTTAACCAAATCCTTCTCATTTCCCCCGATTATTTTGGCTAGTTTAGAATGTAATTAAGCCCCATTTTGCTCAATAAATAATGAGCACGGATTGATGCATATTCTTGCTACAAAAAATTAAAAAAAAAACAAAATTTATTTAAACTATATAGTAACTCTTCAATATAAGAACTCTCTATGTTGAATACTAGGCAGAGCTGGATCCGAAAATCCAGTTCGGATATCCGGAAATTTTCGGTTCAGATATTGGATCTGTATCCGGATATCTGAGCCTTCCAGTTCGGATATCGCTATGGATATTCGAAGATTTCCCGGTATCCATCAACCTTATTAGCTCTGTAGTAGGCGGCGTGGTATAATAGATAACACATCAGTCAGATCTACTGAAGATAGTTCGCTCCCAGCCGTCGAATATCATTTGGCACTAGCTTAAGGAGAGAAATGGCTATAGCCAAGCTCTTAAAATCTGTTCGACTACCGGGCTTGGATGGCACAACTTCCCAATTAATACCTTCTATTTAAGGTACCCCTCATAAGATGAAATTTTTTCAATCCCAAGGGTGCGTCTTATGCTGAGTTTTTTTAATTCTAAAAAATCCTTCATACCCGAACTTGTCCATCTTCAGGTATTTTCTTCACCAGTCGTTCAATCGCTTCTTCAATCTTCAAATTCAATTCATTTACAATACCCCCTCGACAATTAACCGTAGATTCATTTTTATCCGTTCCCCCCAAAAATAACCAATTTTCGGCATTAATTTTTAAAATATTTTCTGCACAACTTCCCTCCAATTCATTAATCATTCTTTCCCTATTTTTATTTAAAAAATCGTTTAAATTAATTTTTTCTGTATTAAAATATTTTTTCAATTTTTCTTTCAAATTAATTTTTAATAAATTAGGAGAACATCCTTTTTTATTTTTCCCCTTTTCTGTTTCAAATTTTTCCAAAATATTTTCCGCAAATTCGTCGGCAACATCACAAATATTTTTATTGTTTAATTTAAATTTTACTTCAAGGTTTTTAAACTGCTCCAAAGGCTGGCAAATTAAAATTCCATATTTTGTTTTTATTGGGATTTGTGCCAAATCTCCATCCATTTCACGAAGTTTATCAAACCATTTGTACACATTCTCGCTTAAAGTTGAGATTACTTATGTCGGTTCGCACATGTCTGTTCGCATGTCGGAACTCAAATTCGAAATGTCGATTCGTACTTGTCTGCTCGCAAATACGTATGGTTTGCACTGGAGGGGTCGTACCAAGGCCTGGGTTTTTCCTGTGCCCAAAGTCCAGGCCCAGACATTTTTTTGACCTTCCTTGGCTTTCCTGGGCCTGGGTTTTTCCTGGACTACAGGCCCAGAATCCGGCCCAGGTCAATAAATCAAACCCAGGAACAGGCCCAGGCTTAACTCAGTGTCTAAAGGCCTGCATGTTTACTTCCAAATCCATTCCTATTAAAACAAATCTACAGACAACCTTTTATTTCTGGAACTATATCTAGTTATATTTTCCAATTGTTGCCCAAAATAGTCAATAATTTCATCAATCTTTTTAAAAATTATTTTTAACCCTTCACTTCCTTCACTAAATCCTCTAGTCAAAAATTCTCTCAAAATTTTATCTAAAAAATAAGCTCTTTCAACATCAACTAAAATCGGCATTTTATTGGGAATTGCATCTTTTAAATAAACATAAAATTCATTTTTAAATTTTCTAAAGGGTTCCAGAACATTTTTACAAGGAAAATTGTTGTCTTCTTCCGAATTTTTTAATATTTCAAGGCTTTTAATTTTTTCTTCTTCTTCTTGATTTATTAAACTTGAAGAGGAAGAAGCCTCAAAATTGCCGTATTTACTCTGAAATAGTCTCTCTCTAAAATAGCCCCCCTCCTACTGAAAAACCCTTCCCTTCTAAAATAGCCCCCCCCCTCCTTCTAAAATAGCCCCCCTTCTGAAATAGCCCTACCCTGCTAAAATAGCCCCCCTCCTAATGAAAAGTCCCCCCTCCTCTAGAGGTCGATCAAAAATATCCCCCGGTGGCTATTTTTAGAGAGAATAAGCATTTTTGATTTCAACATTTTCCTCCTCCTTCACTTCAAAATCCTCCTCCTCTTTTATCTCTTCAATTTCACTCTTTCCTTGTTTATTTTTTAAATTCTCCCTAGCATCCTCTTCCATAATTTTTGCAATTTCTTCATCAAGAATTTTTAAAGTTATTTCTTCTTGATCTTTATTTAAGAGGTGAGCTAATTTTGTTCCAAATGAGGACGGAATTAATAAATACAGGAATAAAGAAAAAATAAAAAAACATTTTTTCATACTTAAAAAATTTAATAAGAATCTGCCCTCTTTCTGGATACCTCCGCTACTAGGTACCTCAGTTTAGGATTTTATTATGGTGACTGGCAACGAGGATATGCCAAAGCGACATCCTCTATTTTAAGATACCCAGTTAACCCCATGTTTAAGATCCCTTTTAATTTGGTTGGCCGTTGAGCTGGGAGTTAAGAGATACATCCCATTATCTCTTAGATCTTTCAGGCTCAGGCTGACTGGCAACGAGAATATGGGGGGGGAGGTTAAATTTTCCCCATCTCTTAAGGGTTGGCTGTATTTAATTTAAATATAAATATTTTTTATTTTGTATTGATAAACAAAAGTGTCGGCATTTATAAACTGTCAAAGGGGATAGATTTGTCATGTGGATGCACTTTGGCGAAATCATTTGATTGCACTTTTATTTTAAAAAAATTGATTGAAAAATTTCTTAAATTTATTTTAAATATTAAGATTGTAAAAAAATTTATTTTTTAAATTGAAATTCTATAAAATAAAAAATAATAAAAAAAGGTAATTGTACATATATTGCTTGATACAAAAAGTAATGTAAGAGAAATTCGAAAAATTTTCGAAAAGGTCACAAAAATTTTTGGTAGAAAAAAAATATAAAAAAATTGTGCATTGGAAAGTATTTAAATTACAATCTAAACCTCACTGTAAAATCAAAAAAGTATATCCGACAATGAGGATTATCTAAAAAAGGGGGGGGTTTCGTTTCAGCTCTCACTCCACCCTTTGACCAACTAAAATTAAAAAAAATGAATCTTAATCAAATTGGAGCAGTATAAAGGGGTTGTTGACGGCCGGTTAATTCTTGCCTCTGGTGTTTCAAATAGAGAAGAATAAGTGTATTTGAGCCACTACAGGGAAAATGTAACAGGTCACCAGCAATTGCGAAACTGGCACACCCCTATTGTCTATCTAATATAAGGGGATATCCAATAGTGAGGTTCGACTGTAGTAAATAAAAGATTCATATAAAAAATTATTCAAAATCTTAAGAATCAGCAGTAATAACTTCTTTACCAGAACCTCCAATTAACATTATTCTTGGAAGACCTTCAGTTAAAGCTTCAACCTAAAAGATAACAAAATTTTAAAGAATTAATATTTTAAATTTACATAGGCTAAGTAATTCTCTACTAAAGATTGAATCGATTTTGGTGGTTTTGGTAATGAAAGCAAAACTAATTGACTTTCTGTTGAATATTCCAGAATCACCTTTAAATTTAAAACTATCAGTTTTTAAATTTTAAATTTCTTTACTTGATTTAAACGAACAGCTGCATTCATTTTTTGTACCTAAATTTATATATGTATTATAATAGATAGACCCCGCTACAATTATAATTACTATCGAATATCCCCCCATTACAATAGGATATCCCCATTGCAAAATATCTCCCAGGGAACTGAGAAATCGTTAAATAGTAGAGGTTAATCTCAGTCGATACCCAAACGATAAAAAATATCCTAAAGTGGGGTAGATACATCCCATTACGCCGGCCATAGGACTTGGCCCAGCAAACAATAAGCTTGGGCCTGACCCCTAAATCTCTTTCCTTAAATTTCTTTTTTTTAATTCCTTCCCAAAAATACATACATAAAGAATTTATCTTCAATTTAACAAAAAAATCTTTTACCTTTACATCATCAATATCTTTCAAACTAATTTGATCAGAACTATTTAAAGTGTCTTGATTATCCATTCCTTCAAATGTTTTTCTATAAAATTAAATTTTTTATTTTAAAAACAAAAAATTTTTTTACTGAATAAAACTCGTTTCAATAATTGATTGTCTTATTTGTTGCTGTCCTGGAACTGCTAAAGTATTATTTGCACTATTTCTAGTTTGTGGGGTTACACGACCACTATCATCTGGCAAAAATCCTCCATTTAGCATTCCTCCATTTGAAAGATTTGATAAATTTTTCTTAAATAGAAAAATTAATTTTTAAAGAGGAGGGCAAATGAAATTTCTCTCTGCTGTGCTTCAAAAAGCATGCGGACATATAGGGACGGACCGATTTCGGGAGATACGGCCACTGGGGCTGGTTAACACATTAAGAAGAGTTTCTATGATTTAGAACCAACGTAAACATGAATAGGTTATTTTTCTCACAGAAATCCCGATAAGTCCGTCAGCATACCCCCAAAAAGTCCAAAAAACTTTGAGCTATAAATGAACAAAATTTACAAAAATTATACTTTTAAAAGTGTTCTTGTCCTTTGCTCCATATTTAAAGTTTTTTGAACTGCGTCATCGTCTACGCTATCTGGATCAATCATATTTACTATGAATACCTTTAAAAAAATAATTTTAATTTTTTTATAAATAAAAATAATTTTTACATTAGCATCAATTCGCAACATATAAATATGTCTTTGTAATGCATGCTTAATTTCTTCATTCTGTTCTTCAGTTTGAGAAATCACGTAAACACTTAAAAAAATCTTTTGTTTATATACAAAATTAAATTTTAATTTGAAAGTAATAGGCAAAAGAATAATGGGTCCACCCCAGGAGCCCACCCATGAGCACCAGTCATAATAAGCTAAAAGATCAGGCTGATGTGTTGTTGATCTTGAGTCCCCTTTATCCACACGAATATTTGGAGTTGGTCTCGATTGTAAGTAGACATCTAGGGAGCTGACCACTATAGGGTGTTAATCTCCTGGATTGATCCAGAAGAACCACCGGGCAGGAATCTTGACACCCATATTTTCTCCTCTATTAAACATCCCACCATAAAACAAGAAAATCATATAAAATTATTTTTTCTCACCGCATTTTACATCCTTTCCATACTTTATGTTGTTGCAATAAATACGCAATAAGCATTAAAATACCCCCATCTTGTACAATCCACCAAATATCAAGATAACCTCTAAGTCTATCATTAGGACGAGGAAAGTCTGTTATTCCTTTAACAACAACCATACAATTATCATTTTGAGCACCACAACATAATTGTTCTTAAATTTAAAAAATTCTGAAAAATTCAAAATTATTCCTTTACCTGCAAAAATCATTTGTTCAGTATGTTGATCCTGATTTTCTCCCATTCTTGGAAAATTGAGGAATACAGTGTTTGGCCTAAGTCCACCAATTCCTATACTTTGATAGAGAGCAGAAACAGCACCCTCAATCTAGAAGAAAAATTCAGAAAAATTTTCTTTAAAAATGAAATACCTGTGTTTCTGTGTAGAGAAGTGCTTTCCCAAAACCTCTAAGCCTTGCTTGTGTCATATCCTGTTGAACTCTTTCTTTAATTTCTTCTGCTTTTTTACGATTTTCTGCATGCATCCCACGTGTTGCTGGACAACGAACAAAGGCGACTGAACAAAAAATTTTTTTAAATGCTGAAAAATTAATAAACCAGTAATTGCAAGTCCTTTCCCAGCTTTTAATTGACCAGCCAAATTTAATAAATTTAAAGAACGCAAATCAATCATTTCTTTTGAATATTTTCCATCAACGAGAATAAGTAATTGAGGTCTCCAATTTTTTGGATGAGGATCTTTATCTTCAACCTTCATTAAACTATATTGTGCTGTTGTTAATGCTAATCCTCTAAGGCCATCACCCCATTCTTGTTTGGCACTTAAATATTTTTATTAATTAATATATTTTATAAATTTTTTTAATTAAAAAATTCAAAAGATCATTTTTAGTCCATGCCCACAAGGTTTTAACAATAAATATGTACCATCAAGTCAAGTTGCTGGCGACCGGTCAATTTCCTGTAGCGGCTTAAAAGCTCTTATCTTCTCTATTTGGGCCGCCACAAGGAAAAATTAATTGACGCCAACACCCTAGTATTCGCATTAAAAAACTAATTACCCTTTCCACTCAACATATTTATATATTGTTCCAGTTAAGGCACAAGCAATTAATGCATAATACCAACACGAGGCAAACATTATAAAGAAACAAAGAAAAGCACCAGCAAGTGAAAGCGACCTAATTAAAAGTAAAATTAATTAAGGAAATTTTATTTAAAGAATAAACCAATGATAATATTTAAATCTTGGCCTCCAATTTGGAGCACCCATTAAAGAGTGCAAAGCACAAATTAAATTAACAAAGGCATAACACATCAAAAAGAAAAAGTCCAAAACTTCAGCAATTGCGTCTACCGCTCCTTTAAATTAAAAAAATTTTTTTGAGTACTCTTAAGGAACTACAACCTTCGAAAGAGAACATTGAGGGATTTAGAGGTGGTAAGAGAGATAAGTACCCAGTTCTGTATCTTATGTTAGAACTAATGGTTCGGTATTGTGAGTAACTTTAGATGAGCACTATGCCCTTCAGTCATACCAAATTCCTCCCTCAATATTCCCTTTCAAAAGTTGAAAAAAGGACTTCAGGGCTGACCCCATTTTCTAAATTAAAAAATAAAATTTTTATACCTAATAAAATAGCCAATTCAGCAATAAATGTAGTAATTAAAAGACCGAGAAAAGGCTCATTATTTTTTGTAACTCTAGCAAAAGGAGAAAGCATTGGAATCACATTATCCTTAGCAATTGATTGTAAAAGACGAGGAGCACCTTAAAAAATTTTTTTTAATTAATCAAAATTATTTTAAAATTAACTGCAAAGGCATTGTAAAGCAGCACCAAACGTAGAAAGAAAAGAGCCAACGATAACAACCCAAGGGGATGGCCAAGAAAGTGAAGCAACAACCAAGCTTCCATCGAGGCTTTTTCCATTTTTATCACGAAGAACTGGCCTATTTATTAATTTTTTAAAATTTATTTTTAAATTAAAATTTTTTCAAATTTACCCAATAATAGAAGCACCAAAAAGAATTGCTAAAGCAACATAAATAAAAGAGGTAGTCAGCGTTGCTGCAACTGTGCCAGAGGGAATACTTCTCTGAGGGTCTTTTAAATCTCCTAAAAAACAGAAAATTGCTGTTTTATGATAAAATTTTAATTTGCATACCGCTCATATTAGCCCCCGTCATTATTCCTAAAAATTAAAAAAATTTTTCTGAAGCTTAAAAAAATAAAAAAAAATCAACCTGTCACTGCAGGAAAATAAATAGCTAAAAGAAGAAAGAATGAGGTTGTAACATCTTGATATACTTCTCGTGCTTTATCAGCCACTCGTTCACGTAAGATTGCTTGTCCTGCCTATTAAATTAATAAAATTTAAAAATTTTATTCCTCAAAAATTCCAACTTGAAGATAAACTGAATCCATGTTTTGTGTCAAAATCAAAGAATTAAATCCAGGAAAGGCGTTGACACATCGAAGATTGCCTCCGGTATAGGTTTGACATACTTCTGTTGTAGCGTTTCCTTCACAGAATTCGTCAGCGATACTGGAAAAATATTTAAATAATTTTTCACCACAAAATATCCCTAAATTTGACACTAGACAGGGAGAGCTTCCCAAGCAATACCTTCTATTTAAGATAACCCTCATTATAAATCAATTAAAAAATCGCTTACTGATCTCCTTTTTTGCAATAATCACAAATATTAGCAATATCTTCATGATGTGGAATATTCAAAACGCGAGAACTTAATAGATGGTCTTCTAACATACACACACTGAAAATAAATTTAAATAATTTAATTTAGAAAATTTAAATAAACTGTTGTCCATTGTATGTAATTGCTTTTTCAATTCCTCCAGCAAAACATGCCATGATGGAAAGTATAACACAAAGAAGAGAAACTGGGGCAAGGAGTTGAACAAACTTTAGAATAAAAAAATATTTTCTGGATACATTCAATCTCGTTTTAGATGAGGGTGAATATACACAAGACGAGAGCACCTATGCGAGACGGATCCCCTTCCCCTTACAATTAGACCAAAAATTTGAGGAGCCAAAAAGGCGAAAATTTGTGTAAGACTAAAAGGCACACCTCTGTTAATCAACTCCCCTCTCAATTGTGTATCTCAAATTGAAGTCTCTTATAAAGGACATTTAATAATGAGGTCCTTATGATTAAAAAATAAATTTAAAAATATAATAATTACTCTAACTCCAAGCGCAACAATTACACATTCAATTAATAATAAAAGGGTGCCATAAATTCTATAATTCTGAAAAATAAAACATCAGCATGGTTAATTAAATAATTAAAAATACGTTAGACATCATTCCAAGCATTCCAGTGTCAGAGTGAACCTCTTCTCCCCCAATTGTTAAGCTTGGATAAATATATAAAAGGAAGACTTCAACACCACCGACCAAGTACATAGAGGTAGCAACTGTATTTGCCAAATAAAAGAGAATTCCAACAGCAGAGCCAAATTCAGCACCCAAATTTCGAGAAATCATAAAGTAAGCGCCACCGCCTTCTACTACGCCCTTCAGAATAAATTTATGTTAAATTTTTAAGGAAAATGATTTTTACGTTTGTAGCAACAGCAGATAATGAGATACATGTAAGTAAAGTACAGGTACAACACTGAAAAAATATTTTCACACTGAAAAAATTTTTCACTAATCTTAAAGAAGAATAAATAAACTCTCCGGAGCGCGCCGTAATACCAAACGCCGAAACATTGACCCAAAAGCTGCAAAATACCAAACTGTGGAAAAATACCACCACATAGAGGCATGTCCCAAGTATTTTAGCGTGTCTTTCGACGGTTTGGTATTTATAAAATTTATAATGGACCCAACCTGACGTTAAAAAAAATATTAGATAGTCTCTACTCGGAATATCGCCAAATTTAAAGATTAAAAACATTAGTAGAAAATTACCAAAAATAAAAGCAACATTGTATGCCAAACACCAGCAACCCCAACAACCCAAAACAGTCTGATGAACATAGTAACCCCCAAAATGTGCTGAATTGTTGGTAGATACACCCCAAACATGACGCCAAGGTTTGCTTTCTTCTTTGCACACGTTGCCCTTTCTTTAGGGCCGGGGGTTGTATAGGCTGAGATAAATGAAGCACCTTAAATTTAACTTAAAAATATCAAATTTTAATTATTAATAAACCTCCACCAGCTGTAGAAATATCATCCTCATCTTCGTCTTTGAATAATGCCAAGCTTCCCAATTTGGAAGTAACTGTTTGTTGAATTGAATGTTTTCTCTCATAGACTTGCCTAAATTTTAAATGATTAATGGAACTGACAATCGGACAGTCTTGGATATATTTTATCTGACCTTGGCTATTTTTCTCCTATTGGCTATCTGTCCTCAGTCCAATTGTCCAAATTTGGACAAAAATGACAATTTGACAAAATGACAATTGGACAACAAGACAAAAAGGACCATTGGACAGGGAATGTGGATTCCTCATATAAAATGGACCACTATTCACTGGCTATTTGTTCATAGTCCCACCGTCTTATTGGGACACGCCCACTTAGTCGCGCGGCCACTTAGTCGCAGAGCCATAACCTGCTAAAAAATTTCTGGCCCTTATCAATTTTGGTACCAATCTCTTTAGCTCGATGAGAGGAATCGTTTAATACCAAATTTGGAAAGATTCGGAAATCTTAAAGCAAGTTATGGCTCTGCGACTAAGTGGCCGCGCGACTAAGTGGGCCGTACCCGTCTTATTGTCTCTCAAAATTCAATTGTCATTTCGCCAAATTAATTAAATTTTTTCGCTAAAATTTTCAAATTAAAAATAAAAATGTACTCTTTGTTATCAGGCTCTTCTTTTGTGTCAGCAATGCTTTCTAAACGATTAGCTGCCTTTTTAATTACCTAACAAAATTTATTTTAAAATATTTAAAATTAAAAAATTTTTAATATTACTTTTAACGTGTCTGGGTTAATCTGCTGAGCAGTAGAGAAACGTCTTCGTCTTTCCTCCATTAGGCTGCGGACTTTCTGTTAAATATAAAGCGGATTGTTATTTTTCATTCAAATTTTTTAGAGACCTCGCTATAAGCTACCCCTTTTGGGGTTGAAAAATATTCTCTTATAATGGGGTGTGCCATAAATAAGGAGTGTTAGACGGCTCTCCCTCTCCCAGTGAAACATCAAGCTTTAAGTGAAGTATCTTAAATTGAGGTTATCTGATAGTGAGTATTTAGGTAGATTTATTTTGGACTCCGTCATGAGATACTCCAACATCAAATAACATTTTTAAATTATGTTAACTATTGGGTGTGGAAAGCTTCCAAAGAAACTAATCCAAAGAGATAAGCTTCCAAGACTATTTAATATATGTATACCCCATTATAAGGCCCTAAGAGGTGTATCTTTTAGCAAGATCTGTCTTTATTTTAATTTTTTGACTAATTAAGAAATTTCTAAATTTAATAAAAATCCCCAATTTTTTTGGTAAAATTGTTCGCTTAAAAATACCTCAAGTCTAAATTTAAAAAATTTTTTTAACTAGATAAGATTTTAATTAAAGAATTTCTTCCTATTGTACCACCAGAAAATAATTTAAAAAATATTTATTTAATATTTAAAAATGAAAATTAAATGAGGTAAAAATTAAAAAAAGGATGAAAGAGAGGTGAATAATAATAAAAATATTATTGTGTGAATTATTAAATCGAGAATTGATGGCCAATTTGAATGAAAAAGAGGAGATTTTAACGGGTTAGGCGAGAAGAGAGGAAAAAAGGATTTAAAAATGTATTAGACCAATTAAATATTTTTTTATTTTTATTGAAATGCGCCGCAATTTTTGGGCTTTGTTCCGTATTTACACAATTTTAAAGGTAGAATTGAAAATAAAAATGAATCAAAAATTTAAAAAGGAGGGAAATCGAAGGATTGCCAAAAAAGGAGAATTGGTTGGTTTTTGTTCTGTCAATAAATAAAAAAATATTTTTTAAATTACCAAAGTTTCTGATTCAGCAACGGAAGCAATTGTAAATGATCGTTTAACAACATTCATTTTTTTAAAATTTTATGTGGGAATATTTTTAAAAATAATTCGAAAGTCGTGGAAAAATAAAATAGAAAATTCCTAGTAATTTAAAAATGAAGTTGGAACTTTTGGGATTTTTCCCAATACTTTGAAAATTGTCTAAAACTTAGAAACAAGACTAAGACTTCATTCCAAAGCAAAAAACTCCCAAAAAAAGTCAATTGAACTTAAAAAAGAACGGACTGCTCTAATTTTTTATTTGCTCCTAATTTTTCTAAGACTTGGAATAAGACAAAGACTTCAACCTAACGCCAAAAAACCCAAGAAAAATCTAGAAATTTAAGTTTTGGACAGTTCTAGGTAAGTTCTAGGGGTTCACGACCGGTTAGCCTTTGCCTGTGGTGGCTCTAATGATCTTATACTTCTCCTTTTAGCCGCCGCAGGCAAAGATTAACCGGTCATGAACAAATAATAGTTCAAAGTAGGGTTGTACCCCGAACGCTCGGGGGCGGGTATGTCGGGGTACGGGGTTTTCCAATTGTTTCGGGGCGGGGTTCGGGTCGGGGGAGCAAAATATGGCCGGGGTTCGGGTCGGGGTACGGGGGTTTAGTGGAAAAATTTTTTGAGAAAAAAATGCTCTAAAATAATTAGAAATCGATATATTTTCGTTGATTATTCAAAAATTAAGTAGGATTTAAAGAAATTAGAGGGGATTTGACGGGATTAAAGTGTATAACTTGGGATATAAGTGGATCTGGAGGGATTAAGTGGGATTTTTAGGGATTAAATGGTATATCTAGGGATACAAGGTGATCTGGAGTGATTTTTGTTGGCACAGCATCTTAAAATAGGCAGAGGCTGTTACTCGCCTTTCAGTGCTGTTTCAGCACTATGGTTTCAGTGCCAGGATTTCAGTGCCAGGGTTTCAGTGTGTGCTCTATTTAAGTGAATATGAATTGTATGCAATTATTAAAATGGAATGTTAATCATTTTATTTAACATTTAAAGGCATTTTAAATGAAAATAAATTTTTTCAAAATAGGTTTTTCCCTTTATTTTTCATTTTCTAAATTTAGTTACAAACCCATGTGTAACTTTTATAAAACATGTGAAAAAACGATAAATTTGGTTTTAAAACAAAGATAAGACTTTGTTTAACGATTTAGTTAAGATAAAATTTTTTTTTCTAAGTTTTTTTTCGAGATAAAGCTTCTCGAAGTTGCAACCTCCAAATCTTTAGAAAATAGCACGCGAAAGAAATAGTGGGGAAAAGAAAAAGATACTGTATTTTTATTTTTTCAGTGCCACTGAAACGGCTTAAAGTAACAGGTTAAGATGCTGTGTGTTGGTTCAAGGGATATTAGTGATTTATAAGGATATTGAGTATTGCGGATAAGGGTAATTGGACGGATATATCGACGAAATCCTTGTCAATTCCGTTAAATTCTCGTAATCATTTCAAATCCATTTTAATCTAAACCTTATATCCCTTTAAATCCCAACTCCTTATTTCTTCGATATCCTACAAATCCCTTTATATCTCTGATTCCCGTTAACAGGACCTCGATAGTTTTCCAACTGTTATGGTTGAGAACTGGTGATACAGGGTGTTTGAAGGATTAAGGGTAGTTCAAGGGATATCAGTTAGAAATAAAATTAATATTTTAAAATTAAAATTTAACTCGTTAATAATTTGTTTTTGTTAGAAAATATAAAAAAACAGAGTTCTCCTTACATCGATCCCACTCCTATAGTAATGAAATATCGGCTAAAACCAACGACTAAGCCACTCAACTACAAGTCTCTTAATAAAAAAAGGAAAGAAAATTATGATATTTCATTCATTTTTCTCTCAAAAATAATAAAAGCCAAGTAAAATGGGTGGAAATTTTTTAAATTTTCTTCATTAATTTCGCCAAAAATGACATTTTTTAGGGGTATAAAACCCCGATAACCCCGAAACTTTTTGGGCCGGGGAACGGGGTTTTCACTTTTTTTCGGGGCGGGGTTCGGGTCGGGGAGAATCGTGAAAAAATCGTTCGGGAACGGGGTCGGGGTTCGGGGTACGGGGTCGGGGTACAACTCTAGTTCAAAGTCGTTGTAGGGCTTGGTTTAAGAGACTAATTCGTAATTTAAAAAAACTAACCAAGGAGAGGCTGTGGGGTCCATGGGACTGTAGGGCTTGGTTTAAGGGACTAATTTTTAAATTTAAAAAAACTAAGTAAGTGTTAAAGCATCGCTTTTATTTAAAATGATTCTTATTTATTAACATGTGTAGTATTTTAAAAAGGTTTGTATATTTATTTAGTCAAACTTTGCCACGTTGATTTGAGCGGTTATGCAAAAAAATAATAAAAAGATTCTCGTGTTATATTTTAAATTTCTTTGAAAATTTTTCTGACAAAAAATTTTATTGTTTAATAGGTCAAATATTAATCAAGGAAGAGAAAATGAAGGAAAAATAAGAAAAATGTTTTTGAAAAATAAAAAATTGGAAATAAAATTCGAGAAAAAATTAAAAACTTTCCTTCAAAACAGTGGAAATAAATTTTAAAAATTAATTTAGAAAATACTTCTTTACCTTCAAGACTGTATTGCGTTTTTCCACTCCTTTTCGACTGCCAGGAGCAGGGCTAACATCCTTTTGGCATAAAATGTTGCCCATAACGAAGGGGAATATTTCAGAAAAGGGAGAGAATATTTTAGGAATATTTTAGGAAGTTTTTTGAAGAATTTAGGAAGAATTTAGGAAGAATTTTTGGAGAATTTTAGGAAGATTTTTAAGAAGATCTCTATTTATTTTTAATCTTTTAAAATAACTTTTAAAGAAAAAAGGATTAATTTAGAGCAGATATAAATTGATTAGGAAGCAAATCTAAAGGGGAATCCAAAAAGTTTTTTTTATTTCTTTTTATTTTATGGGAATAAATATTGCGCTGTGGGAAAATTGGTAAAAGAATATCAGAAAAAAATAATAATTTTGTGATGAGAGTAACCACAATCAACTGCCGTCGGCGATAACTGATTGTGATAAATGCGCATTTGATATTTTATGGAACCGTTGAAGCGTTATAATTATGAGAGGATAGAACGGAAGTTGAGGGGAAGAGTTAAAAGGATCATTTTTTGATATTCTTCACGTGTTGCCAATTATCTTTTTGAATTTTTGGGAATTTTATTTGGGACGAGGAGATGATAAAATTGATATATACAATCGAACCTTATTTTAATATAACTCCAATACTATGTAGATAAACCGCTATTTAAGGTACGATTTTTCAAAATTTGACAATTGGGAGTAGGGTAGGGGGCCTGATCCGGCCCGGTCTGAAAGATCGAGTCGGGCATCGACTTTTGGCCCGAAAAGACTCGGTCGAGCCGGTTCGAAAAAACGACTTGAACGTCGGCCCGACTCGAAACCCCCAACCCTAATTTGGAGGAAGCACCGTTTTAGGATACCTCCTATTTGAGGTACCTCTCATTATAAGGTAACGATTTTTTCACACCAAAAGGGGCCTCTAAAAATTAGGTCCTGGTTGACAGTTGGATGAGAAAACCGTCTAAGTAATACTCTTTATTTAAGATATTCTCTTTTTAAGATACCCCCAGTATGAGGTAACGGATTTTCCACCTCGAAGGAGTATCTAAAAACGAGGTTCAACTGCTTTTAAAATTATGAATCATAAAATACAAAATAAAATTCATATCTTAAAAATTAAAAAAATTAATTATTGGTAACTAAAGATTGATTATCAAATTAAAAAGATAAAAAAAATAATTTTTTAACATTTAAACAGTTAACAAAAAATAATTAAAAATTAAAATTAGATATCAGTTTACTCATAAAATTATTACTTTTTATGTTTTATAATTTAATTTAGGCCCAAAAAAGAAAGGAAATATTAGCCTGCTTAAGTAATGATTAGGGGGAAATGTTTGTAGGATGACAAAAACATCGCATAAACATAAAAGAAAAGCGCCAACTCCCCCCTAAATGCTTCTTATCAACATAAAAAGTGTGGAAAGAGGCTGTTCTCGCCAGTCATATAAATTTAGTATTTTATTTCTATTTATAGAAAAAAATATATTTTGGTCAAAAATTGATACACTAGTAAATAAATAATTTTAATTAAAATTGAAAAATTTAAAATATAAAAAAAATCGTATGATACTAAGAAAATAAATTTAAAAAGCAGTCAGAGTTAGAGTTCCGGATGAGAGAAAAGTGAGGATATCGAGAAATTTAGGATCTGATACGGGATCCGGATCAGGATATCCATGAATTTTCGTATTGGATATTGAATCCGGCATTCAGGGATTTCCCAGGATCCGCCAAAGAGCCTAGTCTGGATCAGGGGCGGCGCATTACATTTCGCGTTTTCCCCGATTTTATCTTGTGCCCACGCCTGGTCGGAATCTATGAAATAGAGTTTTGCAGCTTTATAGCTATAGTATTAAAATTATTTATCAAGAATATAGGAGAATCGCTTCAACATGGTCTAGATTTATTTTTAGTATTTTTAGAGGAAATTAAGATACATACATAAATATATTTATTAAAAAACAGAAAAGATTCCTTTAATTAATCCTCAAAAATGTGTTTCTGTTGAGCAAAGAAATTAATTTATTTTAGTAAAGAACATCTTCAACTCCGACCCAATCTGTCTCTTTTAGCAACAGATGAGAGGGGCAAGGATTTATTAAAAGAAAAGTATTTGATCCTTTAATTTTCCTTGCTTTCCTTTTCTTCTCAATCACAAGCAATCGAGACAAAATTGAGATTAAAGCAAATGGAAGATGATCCAAAATGGAAACTGATGAGGGAATAAATGAAGAAAGTTTCTCAAAAACACAGATGGGGATAATAAAAAACAAAACAAAAATACACGTGCAAAACATATTAATTGGAGGAAAGTTTCCCCCAAATTTTTCCCCAACACAAAACATTCCCGGCCCCTTCCCCCTTCCACCGATATAACCTCTACTTGAGAGGATCGCGCACACAAATAAATATATTTTTTTATTTGTTTTGTATTAGCCCTATATACCTCTTGTAAGTTAAAAGCCACTAAAATGTATCTCTCTCAATATCAACAAAGACCAAACACTCCCCAAACACTCCATGCTATTCCCCCCTTTTTTTACTTTTTTTGCTTCATTTTTTACTAAATATTACTAAAATTTTCCCCTTTTAGAAGATGATCGTCTTAGGAAAAAAGTAAGTAAATGAGATGATTGCGCGCTTAAGTATTCTTTGTGGTATGTTGACAAATTGACGTTGAGAGAAGAAAAGGAGATTTAAGGATTTTAACCCTTATTTTAACCCAATATTTAATTGAAATGTACAAATTTGCTCTTTGGCCGTTAGCAAAGATTAATGCAAAAAATAAAATAAATTATTTTTAGTTTACTATACTATTTTTAGCAAAATTGGAAAAATTTTTCTTTAAATAGAAAATTTATTTTCTATTAAATTAAATGCTTTTTAGTAAAATTAAAAATATAAATTAATACCCTGCAGATTGATCCAAGGCAGAAAATTTTCATTTTTAGTTTGAAGAAATAATTAGGTGATTTAGGGAATATAATGGGTTTTTCAATAGAAAAATTTTGGAAATAAACCTATCTTTTTAATAATTAATTAGTCAGATCCTGGGCATGTAGTCCAGCAAAAACTCAGGAAGGTCTAAAATGCCTCTGGGTACAGGAAAAACCCAGGCCTTGGTCCAGGCCCAGAGGGATATGCTTCTAATGGCTGTATCTTAAATAAGAATATCTCTTGTTTTTAGTTAACCTAATTCCAGTGGCCGTATCTTAAAGAGGAATATCTCAGGTGTGATCAATCCTCCCAACTTCTAAAAATTTTGATTTTATCTAGAAATGAGATCAGGTTATGATCAGTTATTCTTTTCATATTTATTTTCTATTAAAAAAATTTAAAAAATAGGAAAATAAAATTTAAAAAAACTGAAAGAAATTTAATTTTCCCTTTTTTAATGTTTTTAAAAAATTGTCTCATTTTTTTTCTTGCTAAAAAGAGAAAGATGTTTTAAAAAAAGCGATGAATAATCGCTGATTTGTTTACATTTTTTGATTGTTTTTGCAATTGAATATTAAAAAATATTTAAAAAAAACTTTGCTCTATTTTAAACATTGAATTTGCATATTAAAAATGCCTCGCGATGGGCGCGTGAACAGTTTTACAACTTTATTGTGTAAATAAACCTTTTCTACCAACAAATTTTTAAATTTTTATTGAATAATAAAATAAAAACTTGGATTATTCCACATAAAAATATTTAAACTACATTCAAAAATTTTGCCATCATTTTAAATTACGTCATGAACATAAAGATCGGGTCCCGAGGAAGTGCGAAGATTAGTACACCTTACATAATCCAGTATGAGTGGGATATCAAAAAATATTAAACCGACAACTCTTAGGTGTGAGCAAATATCTGGACGAATATCAGGACGAACTTGTCGGGATTGCTGTGAGAGGAAAATAACCTATGTTACGTTGGTTCAAAAGCATAGAAACTCTTTACTTCAATAGGCCAATGTACTATCCAAGACCAAGTGGCCGTTAACAGTTCGTATATTGACATATCCCGATATGTCTGTCCCGATATGTCCGCATGCCAAATCTTTTATTACTCATTAGATAGAGAATTCAAAAGAGTATTTAATCAAGTAAAATTTTTTTTCTAAAATGAATTTTTAACTGAGAATATAGTAGGCAATTTTCATCACCCTATAGTTTAAATACCCTATGCAAAAATTGTTATTAAGCATTTTTTAAAATAGTGATATGATAAAAAATAATGATAAGATAGTGATTCATAGAGATATTACCTTAGTATAAAATTATCTTTACTAATTTTATATTAAAAATTACTCACAATGCTTTTAAAATATTATTTGGAGTAAAAAAAGCTGTTGCTTGTGTGAATAAACTGTTGTTTTCGGTGCTTGTTGATTGTTGATTTTTTATTCGAATTAAATTTGTATAATTAATCAAGAATTCTGATTTAATAAATTTATTAACTATTATAATCTAAATAGACCGTGAATGCTCTAATAGAAGCCCATGCCTTATACGCTAAATTAAACATGGCTTTTTTATTTTTTATCTTTTAAGCCGTTAGACAATTCCTTAAGACATGTCTTTAAATTTAGACATGCCTTTTTAGGTACCTTTTAGACATACCTTTACATTATGCATAAATGAAGCCCTATCAGCTCAATTAGCTCACTCAACTTAACATTCTATCAGGACATTTACGGCATATAAAAAATATTAATTTTAAAGAAAAAATTTTATTCTAAGCTTAAAGAAATTCTTTTAGTAAAATTTATCAATGTTCTAAGCAGCAATGTCGATTTACACAAGACTATATCCTTTCAATCGTCATTTAGACAAATATAAAGCATTTTAAAGTTATATATTAACTAATTAACATTTTTAAAAATATTTTTAGTCTCAAGTACCCAAAGCTTTAAATATTGAAAAACTAAAGGATATAATAGGTTTTAAGAAATTACTAAAAATTAGTTTGAGTTTAATCTCGACTTGAAGTTGAGCAAATATTGGATAAAAAAAAAGTAAAGAAAATTGATGAAATCATCCAAACCGTTTAAATTTTTTTGGTAAAATAATTAGAGCTTAATAGAATGAAGAGGTATTTATATAGCTAAATAGATGATGAGGTTGAAGAGATGATTAAAGAACGAGGTAGATGATTAATAATATAACTACAATATTACCCCTATTAAATTATTGATTGATTAGAACAAGAGGGCTCTGAAGAGACCGATTATTGGGCGAGAGAAGTCAGAGAAAAAAATTTTTTCTCTGCCCAAAGAACTGGTCTCTTCAGGCCCTCTTGTTCTAATCAATCAATAATTTGCAAACCCAATCCTTTTGGGCGTTGCGGGGTTTGATTGGAGTAGGTCGTGGGAGAAGTAAAGTTGCATCGGAAAGTGATTCAGGGTGCTTCAAAGGGTATCAAACGAAGCCTTAAGCGGGGGCCGAGTCGAG